GTACCCCCACTGGACAAATGATACCTGTCATTGGAAAAATTGTAATTTCACTGGCCAAACAGTTTCTACAACATGACAGATCGTGTGAGCCACTGGACAAATTGTACCAGCCACATGACAGATTTTACCCACTAAAGGACTGATCGTACCCGCAACAGGACTGATCATACTTATCACATGACATATTTTACCCATATCAGGAAAAATTGTACCCTCARCAGGACAAATCATACTCRTYGTGGGACTGATGGTACCCATAACATGACATTTTACCCACCTCAGGACAGCTCATACCCACAATAGGTCTGATCTTACCCTTCACGTGACTTATCATACCYCCACTGGACAAATGGTRCCTGTCACTTGAAAWATCGTAAMCTTGACTGGACAAACTGTACCCACAACATGACGTGTCAGCCACAGGACTGATCGTACCCATCACAGGACAGATTGTATCTGCCACTGRACAAATCATACCTGCCACAGGACAGATCGTACCCTCTATAGGACAACATGTATCGATCATGTAACAACAGAAGAAATCATAACCGCCGCTGGATAAATCGTACCCACCACAGTTGGATGCTCTCTGAGRCGTGGAACCTGCTCTGTGACTTGGCTGAGCATTCAGAGGTTTCCTACCCGATGATTTTACACGTAAACGAACCCAGACCCGGTCTCTGTCCTCCTCCTCCTGGTTTGGGTTTTGACGAGAACTTGAACTCTTTCTCCTCCCCGTCCGAGCATGAAGCCATGACCCCCGCTGTGCCCAGAACCTGAGGTAGACGGAGTCCTGCGACGACCAGACCGCCGCCCGCCGCACCGACACAGTGGAATCAGACGGTGACGCTGCCGGTGGTCTGATCGGACCCCCTCTGTGCACGGCTCTGCTCTGCTGTACAGCCCACTGWCCCCCAGCCACACCCAAAGGACAGAACTCTGTTTGGACCTGATGCTGAATTCATGAACACGTCATTCAGATCATCTGCTGCAAACACAAGCTGGTAAGCTGGTGGTCGTGACATCATCCTGAGTCTTCTTCACCTTCATCCTGCAGCCCCGGTTCTCCTTAGACCTGCAGCTTCATTTCAGTTTGGACCCAAAGCAGCAGCAGAAGACAGGTGTTTCCTGGATCAAACTGAGCTTTCTTTAAATGATGTCATYTAAAACAAACACAAAACATCATGGCCTTTTTGTTTCGTTGGTTCCATCAGTGAGTCAGGATTGTGTTTTATGTTGGAAACAAAAATGTTTTTCCAAAGTTTTCATCGTTTTTGTTTTGAAGAGTTGATCAGAAGCTGAAGCTTCAAGTTCGGAAAAATTCAGCTTAAAAGAAGCTTTTAAAGACCCCATTTTTACAGTTTTAGGGAGAACCCCGGTGCCTAATGTGTACAGTACACACACACACACACGCACACACACACACACACACACACACACACACA